ACACACACACACACACACACACACACACACACACTCTCTCTCTTGAATGATTACTCTTGAAGTATTAGTCACATTGTGTGGTTAAACATGGACCTACTAGTAGAGACGGTTCAACTAGTCTACTGAATACAGTAGGTCTGTTTACATGGCATTTTATTTTTTAAGTTAACCAATATGTTTGACTGAAAGCATCATTTAAAGTACTCTATATCACACACACACACACACACACACGCATGCACGCACGCACTCTCACACACACGCACACACACACACACTCTTGAAACACCTTAAGATCAGTAACATATAACATATCATAATAAAACAAAACAGATGGGGAAAACAGAACTTTGAATCTGTTGTTGTGAGATTAATTCATCAGATATTTGTGAAATCCCTTACCAAAAAAAGAATGATTTATAACAGAATTATTACAATATATGTGCAAAAGGAATGTCTGGAAATCTAAAACTGATATTTACTTCTGGCACACTAAAGCAGACGATAGAAGTGGCTTGAAATGTGTTTGTGAATAAAATGAGCCCTAACCCTAAAGTGCTGAAGACAGTCGCACACTATAAGACTACAACAGTTCTGCATTTAATACTGTCATCATACTTATTCAAAATGGACTTTAATTTTATTTTAATAGACAGACGTCAGGTTCATTTTTATTCATTGTGGTTTTAATGTTTTAATTTGAGATTGTCTGTGTGTGGGTTAGGGTCTGACCTGTTGCAGTAGCTCCAGAACTGCTCGTTCAGGTACGTGTGATGGCTGTGCTCGTCTCCAAATGAAGCTTTGCTCTCAATCCAGTGAACTATATGACCATCAACAGCTAAGAAGAGCACGAGGTTAGGAAGGTAGGTTTACTACAAACTAGCAGTGTTTACACAGAGAAAGGGAAGGCGATTAGCAGGCTACTAACAGCACAAACACAAACTACGCACAATTTTTCAGTCTGCTTTGGTCTGTTTGTAAAGATTATTTTCACGCCAAACTGATTTGATAGGACATCTGTGAACAAAAGTCCAATTAAATTCATAGTTAATGATATGACTGTCACTGTGGACTGACCAGGTTATTGGTTTGAAAAGGTCTTTTTTCTAATCAGTGAGTGAATAAACAGCAGCTAGCAGCAGATGAAGGGATCTCACCTATAGGCACCTCCAGAATGATGTCCGGGGTTTTGTCGTAGCCTTTGGTACGGAGCTGGTTCTCATCTGTGAGGAAAACACATGATCTTCAGGAATGCAATGGTAGAAGAGTTTCTTTGTCACGTTTGAGACAGTTTTGACCATCAGAACTAAAAATAATCGCTTTTTTGGTTAAATAAAAATGCAGGTTTGGTGTCATATTTAATATAGTTTTTATCTGCTCTAGCCTTTAATTACAGGTCGTTTCCACCAATAGTGTTCATTTACTGGTGTCCCATCTCAAATCCCATCTTCATGATTCTTGACTGGACAATTCAAGATCATTTTTGATTATTTTAAAGTCTAATAATAATAATAATAATAACAATTATTATTATTATTTCTTTAATTTTAGCTGTTGTCCACATTTTGAGTGCAACCCTGTTAACCAGATGATTACAAGTAAATGAAAAATCTAATTATGACAGAGGAAGTAACATCACTTGTGGAAAGACAAGTAAATAAAATGATTTTTAGTCATTGAACTGCTACTGTCCTCTGCTAGAAAATGCAAATTCACATAATTCTGGGCTTTAAACTGTATTTTAGTCATGACACAATTTTTGCTAACAGGATTGCATTACATTACATAAAATACCCTTTTACTGAGTATTGTAAAAAAATATATCAAGCTTTAAGCTGCATGACACTGTAATAGATTCACTGACAGGGACGGTCTGTATTAAAGACACCAGAGAGTTCACAGAGGTACAGAATGTGTCATTTCTGTGCAGTTTAGTTTCAGTAATTGCTGTTTTATTACTGGGAGGGACGTTTTTAGTTCTGAAAGTTACAGTATGTTTTATAAAATGAAATGTATTTGGTGAAACTGATTCTATCTCTTTAAAACCAAGCGGCACGCATCCAGTGAAGGCACATCTATGCCCTCGGTCAGCGCAACTAAAGCAAAGTCATCCGAGGAGAGTAAAGACACAGGCAGCATCCGCACACAGTGGAGGATGAGAGCAGTGTTTGCTGGCGCTGCACAAACGTCTCTTCAGTCGCTGTGCTGATGGAGGGTGAGAGGTCTCTGTATTATATCAGTGCGAGCCGTTGTCCTTGAGTCTGGGTGAAACACCTGATTTCTCCATTAAATCACACTGAGCGGGTCATTCGGCCTCTCGGGCTCGTGTCCAGTCGGGCTGAACCGCTGTAGGGCGTGAGGGGCGTTCAGGGCGAGGGCTTTGTGTAGGGTCTGTTGACATGGTCACGCCAGGCAGATCATCTCTGTACATCACCTTTGATTAGAATTAATGAGCTGTCTCAGCTGCTGCAGAGCTCGTTTATCAGGCCGCCGTGACCCGCCAGCCCAAACGCCCTCAGTCGGGTCAGAACTCACTCATTTCACTCCTCAGTCTTTACTGCCAGGCGTCGCTGACCACCGGCGCTCAAGAAACACAGCAAATGTGCAGTGCACACTGGGAAGGTCACGCATGCACACACATGTTAATAATGTGCTGCTGTACTTCTCTAACATTTAACAAAACTTCAAAATCATCAGTCATGTATGAGAAATAAACTCATTAAAAGACAGAAGGCAAATTCTGAGCTCAAAAAGAAGGATGTTTGAGTTAAAGGGAAAGAAAGCCTTACCACCGTCTACGAACACAAGTGTAAACGCCACGCTCCATGAGTACAGAGCAAAACAGCTTGAACGCTTTAAAAAATCAAGTCAGTTTTCAGTTCTTTGCAACAAATGTGGGAAATGATGATGATCATCCTCAGGTGGTCAAACTTAATATTATACGGTTAATTATTATATGAGCTTTACATTCTACACACACACGCACATACATTATACCATATATACATGGAAAATGAGAGTCTGAAGAAATTTAATATAACAAAACTAACAAAAGCTATGCCAGAATCCTGAAAAATTAAATTCATTTATGGAAAAAAAAAATCTTTTTTAGAAACCTCGCACTTTTCTACTCTATTTAAAACGTCGTAAAATTTTAAACAAATTAAGCGCGGTCCACTGCTGCACACGTGCCACAATATCGATACAGGGCCAGCTGTATCGATACTCGTATCGTCAAATCTCTGTGACGATACATCGTCGTATCGATATTTTGAACACAGCACTAGTTGCTAGGGTGTTGCTACAGTGTTCTGAGTGGTTGCCAGGGCGTTGCTAGAGTGTTCTGAGTGGTTGCCAGGGTGTTGCTAGAGTGTTCTGAGTGTGTTCTGAGTGGTTGCCAGGGTGTTGCTAGAGTGTTCTGAGTGGTTGCTAGGGTGTTGCTTCAGTGTTCTGAGTGGTTGCCAGGGTGTTGCTAGAGTGTTCTGAGTGGTTGCTAGGGTGTTGTCATGGTGTCTGTGTACCAAGGTATAGTATAATAGCATTTATAACACATGCAGCCTGAACATCAAGGTGATACAGTGCTGAAGAGTTGTGTTTGTAGGGCGTAACGCAGGCTGTGCTCATAGTTTGATGGGCATTTGTGTGTCATGTGTCACGGGGCGGTTCTGTAGGGCGACATGATGAACCCACACAGATGTAGAGTGAATGAATGCTGACACGTAAAAGAGCTGGAGAAAGAGAGAAGGGGTGGAGGGACGGGGATGAATGACCACATACAGAGAAACACTGTGATCTTTCACCCCCGACTACACACACACACACACACACTCACTCTCTCTCAACAGCAGTCATTTACTGTGCACTGAAAAGAGCGAAGAAATATTACAGTCAGGAGGGGACGGGCCCCTCAGCATCCATTACAAACACCCATCATGCACTGCAGCACGCCACACGTCACCTTATTAGCAGATTATTCAGACTAGTGATGGATTCACACGAGAACATCTCAGAAACTAACATAGACACTCCCAGTGTTTCACTGACCACTAACTAAAGAGTTCTAGCAGATTGCAGATACAATTAGTATAAAGACTACTAGAAGAGCAACAAACAATGAAAATGAAAACAGAAAAAATAGAGCTATCACATGACTTCAGAACACTCAGAATATAGAGCATGATAGCGTTATGATTATAGTGTATAGAGTTTTACCGCCACTGATCAGTCTGCATACATTGTATAGTGTGAACATTCTGCTAAACATCTTAGATTGTATTCAATGGAAGAATGAGATGATGTCTGCTCAGTGTTGGTACCTGCTCGACGTGCTTCGCTAACAGCAGGTCTGGAATTAAATACGGCTCGCGCAGCATGTTGTTGAGGACGTGTCTGGAAGCTGCTGATGGAGAAAGAAGAGTGAGGAGGAACACATGCATCAGATCAAAGTCCAGAGTTCAGCTGCAGCGGGCCTCGATGAACACACACCTGTAGTATTTCTGTGATGATACGAGCATACAGAGATGCAATATTCTGCATGTCTCATTCCATTCAGCACTAACTAACATTATGAATCAGCCCACGAGCCCTTGGATTGATTCCCTATTACTCCAACACAAAATCCATCATTTTCAAACATATTCAGATTCAATGGATTGAATCACTGTGGATTGAATCATTCTAATGATATATCCAGAATACGGCTCGCGCAGCATGTTGTTGAGGACGTGTCTGGAAGCTGCTGATGGAGAAAGAAGAGTGAGGAGGAACACATGCATCAGATCAAAGTCCAGAGTTCAGCTGCAGCGGGCCTCGATGAACACACACCTGTAGTATTTCTGTGATGATACGAGCATACAGAGATGCAATATTCTGCATGTCTCATTCCATTCATGCAGCACTAACATTATGAATCAGCCCACGAGCCCTTGGATTGATTCCCTATTACTCCAACACAAAATCCATCATTTTCAAACATATTCAGATTCAATGGATTGAATCACTGTGGATTGAATCATTCTAATGATATATCCATATGAGAGTGACAGAGGCACTGTGCCACTGGCCAGTGCATGATGGGAAATATGAGGCCTTGTTCGGCTCAAACAGACAGTGATGAGAAATAAATGAGCATTTCATTTTATTCATGAAGTCAACTTACACTATGCCAATAATGCAAGTCAAAGTTTGAGTGCCATAAACAGCCATCATTTTCATTTACAAGACCATTTTTCTTTGAGCCTTGCATTGGTAGCTTTAAGACTTCTGTGTGTAAATGACACACTCCGTTATTACTGGCTAACCTCTACATCTCCAACCAGACACCAGACACAAAACCAGACCAAGACTAGACCCCTCAAGAACCACCATTTTGGATTCCTTTCAGCGAAGAGTTCTTAAAAGAACCATTGTTTTCTCTGTGAAGAACATTTTAATCAGCTAAAGCACCTTCTTCCTCTATCGAGAACCTTCTGTGGAATGGAAAGATTCCATGGATGTTAAATGTTCTCCATGGAACCACCAATGCTAATAAAGAACCTTTATTGTTGAGAGTGTTTAGAGCCATATTTAAAGCTGAGGTGTGAAAGTGCTTTGCCATTAGCGTAACCGAACAAAACGGCAGAAGCTCTCAATGTTTTCAAACAAAACTGGTTCCCCAAACACTTCATCCCAAGTCTTTTTTTATTGCCTTTACTGGACACCTTTGTTTTCTCAGAGCATGATTGTTTCTTGAAGGCTCTTAAGTAGTAGTACAGACGTACAGTACTTGTTTGAGATTGAGACCACAAGATCAAGACTCCAACCCTTAGCTCTTTAGGCTCTCGTTACACACCCCTGTCATCAGGATCCAGCCGCACACAAACACACAATCCTCCTTCACTGGACTCTCTCTCTCGCCGTCGTAACACCAAATCCCTGCTGGAGATGAACAAACGCTTGCTGTTATCTTTTTCATCCTCCTGCTGAAAGAGGACGTGAGGAAGAAAGAACAAAGCCAAGTCAGCAGTCCTCTGCACCGGCGGCGCCTTGTTTTTCAGCTCATTTTTCTCCGAGATTGCTACCTTCACACGCAGATCCATACGCTGCTCTGGCGCTCCGCTCGGCAATGAAGAGAGCTATATTTCCCCTTGAGTTAGGACACCTCATGACAAATGATAATGGATAATCAATAAAGCGGGAAATATGAGGCTGCAAACTTTATGAAGCCGGGAGACATATTACTCCCCAACAACACTGGTTTCCCTTAACAAAGTCACTACGCCGCTGCGCCTAATAATCTGAGGGAAAATCAAAGAAGCCGCAACCACATCAGCAATATTGGCAACTTATTCCACTTTAATGGCATTTTGATTGATTTTTTCCTCTTAATGGTACTTTTATAGATTTGATGCTGGTCCTGCAAAACAGCAGTGTGTAATAGAGCTCCCCGAAGGCAAGCAACAGCCATTAAAGGCCTTGTCTTACCAGGACTCGTAATTGGAGGTTGACCACCATCGCATTTCACACATCACACAACACCACCTGCTTCAAACGGCCAAACCAGGGCCTTTTCCTCTGAGCGATGGGGTTAAGAAGAGTCGTAAAAAGAGGGTGACCTTGCGGCTGACATTGTGGGGTTTCAGCCCGAATTTAATGCAATTGTCCCGTGTCGACATAAATTCCGACCGAGGCGTCCGTATCTGAAGGAGGGAAATATTAAAGAGGAAAGACGCCCTCCGCCGGGAGTTGTTCAGGAGCAGGGAAGCGCTGTTTACCAAAAACACAGCCCCCTTTAACAACCTCTGATGAAATGACGAATGGGGCGGCGGAAAGCGGCGCAACCTCGACTCGCTCTCCGGAAGGATGAGCAAGCCATTATCAGACTCCGAAGAAGCGGACAGAAGCTCATTAGAAGGCAGCGCTTGTGGAGGGTCGATCGTCGTAAAAAAATAACGAATGACAATCGTTATCGCCCCCGACGCTGATGAGCTCCGGAGTTTGTTTATTAATTAAAAACCCTTTTCTTACGGTTATAATCAAGACACCCCCTCCTCCTCGCGAACACCGTCGTACATCAAACTTCATGGTGCGCGCGAGAGGCGCTGGCTGATAATGCGCCCCTGCTAAAGCTGATTTTCCATGATGAATCTGGGAGCATATAAATTGGCTAATATCTAAAAACATTTACAGATACTAGAGGGATTGACTACTTGCGGGCCGTGATGGATGAGGCTGTTAGACGCCAGAGGACAGCTCTGCAAATCTCTGCGGCTGCCTAAAGCACTCATTTGATTTTCATATTTACTTCTTTAAACCCATCCTCCTCTCCTCGGCACACAGGAGAAGCTGCGCTCGTGTTTGTTTCCTCCGCCTCTGGTGCGCTGGAGATCGGCGTGATGTGCTGGGGCTCCCAGCAGGGTTAGTGGGGCAGAACTGATCTGCCTCCGTCTGATTGTGTCTGATAGCAGGGCTGCAGCTCGGCCCGTCTCTGAGCTCCATGACTCCAGCTACGCCGCTCCATGCTAGTAATTAGTATACTTGTCAAGGCAACTGCTTACCTCACCCGCTAATGAAGTATTCAAAGGCCAGATTCATCTGCCCAATGCACTTACCTTCACAGAGCACAAGTGCAGATCTGCCTCTGCTGTAGGGATGGGCACGAGTACTCGAATTAGCGATTATCAATCAAGAAAATTACGATTTCTTGTTCTAATTGGTTATGGCAGCATTTTGGACACCCTAAAAAATTTGTGTCATTATTAAGAGACTATAAAAATGCTGCAGCAAACACCTTTTAATTGGTTAAAGGGGTCATGAACTGCATTTTTTTATTATTTTATAATGTGCTCTGAGGTTCACATAATGTTAGTGTGATTTTACATTAAAAAAAACAATTTATTAGTAATAAGTTATCCTGTTAATTAAGCTGTCGATCCGCTCTAGTCACTCAGCACTGCATCAGCCTTTACTCTCAGTCTCTCTGAAAAGATCATCATACTGTCTCATTTAGAAATGAATCCGTAACAAACAAACAGTGTTTGACTGACGCGATCTGGAGCTCTTTGCTAATTTCCCCCGTGTTTACACCGGATGTGACTCTAGACGACAGAACCCATTATAAATTCTGTCTACACTGCATACGGCACAGATTGACAACAAATCCCCGACAGTAAACTGTTGTCCCGCTCTATTTATGACACCGCTTCTGACCTGAAAGAGAAACGGATTCGCGACATGACGCAAGAGCGCTCGCGTCTGATCTAGATATGTTAGGATCACAAGGAAGGCAATTCAAAGACTATTTTTCACTACACAGTGTCTAGTTAGTATTTACCATAGTATGAACTTTGATTCTTCATGTGTCTTTCTCTTTATCATCTGCATTTTTATTGTCAGTGTACGATAAAGTTATAAAACAGATTTTAGTACTTCGGTAGTTTGGTAAATTAACATTATATCAGTTTAAGACATATACTTTTTTTTTTTACTGTAAATTTTAAATCTGTGAAACCTGAAATGTTGCTACTGTATATTTTACAGTAAAGATATGGCAACCACACTGCTGTTTTTAAATTTCTCATATTATTTTTACAGTGTATCTTGAGGTCAGTTTGGTAAGCGTTAAGAAAGGCCATCCAGACCAGAGAACTAAAGTGAAACTATGGCTTTGAAAGCATGCACTGATGCCTGGAATCACTCTGATGATGAAAATACAGTGTGCAAGATGTGCGATGCCAATCCGTGTGGCTGTAAGCTGTAATATTTCATTGATGTTGTATACTGTATGCCTGATTATTCTCAAATGGGAAGTGTTTGGGTAACCGACCTGCTACCAAAGGGTTTAAGTTATCAGTGTTTATTCACCGTTCACTTTCAGCTCATGCGTCTCAAACAGCAATTACTGACTGTGACCGGGACTGTCATATACATAATAAAATAATGAGTACACTATTGTTACAGACTGTTGTAAGTCTTTGACTAACAAGGTAAAGTTCACTTGTGCAATCTCATACTTTTTGTGCAGATGTAAGTTGTATTATTATCTGATTGATCTCATTTAAGATTGGTTTCGTTGACGCAGCTCAACATTACTGAATATGATTGGGTTATTTAAAATAATCATATTCCTGTTTTTTTTCCAAAACCTTTGATGCATTATTTATAATAACTAGCAGTGTTATTTTTCTCATTTCATTAAGTATGATTTAAGTATGTGCATGTGAAGTCCAAAAATGGGCAGGTCAATGGTCAACTCATCAAACTGGTGCCCATCAAATATCACACCATGTGGAAGAGAAATGGAAAAACAATCTGACTTTAAAAAGGTGCAGTTAAAATGAGCACTGCTTATGTCACGCATCCAACGCCATCAGCGCAGGAACGAGCGGGAAGCATCATTCACTGGATATTCAGGCACAAATGCCTTTAAAGAAATGAAAAGGTAACGTGAATGGAGTCAGAACGTAGCATTCATCTAATTTAAGCATGATAACTAAGGCATCCAGCCCAGAGCCACAAACACCAAAGAGACTGGAGCAAAAAGCCCAGCAGTACGTTCAGAAGATCCCGTCTCAGCCGTCTGCAGGAGAGGAAGGATTATAGATGTTGATATCATATTCGATATGTGCTGAAAATGCCCTGAACGTATTGATTTATTTACATGCGCATCCATCTGGCCCGGTCTGGGGAAAACACGGCCACAACACTCACCCGAGAAAAGACTTCAGAAACAATCTCAAACTCTCCATTGATCCCGCTGAAGTGAGTGGATATATATTCAGCCGTCCCAAAGGCACAATTCCTGCGTCTCTTAAATGCAAACAGGGAAGAAAGGAATGAAAGAAAATAAAAGATGGTGGTGTGCGAGGGCCGTGGCTGGCGTATATGAGGCTATTGATCCGCGCGCTGGCTGGAAACACTGAGCGAGCTGGGAATGATGGATGTGCCTGCCGACAGCGCCGGACAAACCTGTTAGCTAATTGCCAGCAAAGACAATTATCCAGGCATTGTTTGATGAAAGCAACACATTACAAAAGTCTAATATTCACACAGGGAGATTCAGTAGTTGAAGCGTGGAGCCCCTGTGCGCAGGAGTTCACTGCCGCGGGTCAAAATACACGTCACTCTCATCTGAATCTGAGCTGGGCTAGTGCGGACGGCTGGCGCGGTCACGTGACGCTAACGCTACAGAGAATGGAAAGGCTTGAGCTTCTGTATCTCCTCCTAGACTTTTAAAGCTACAACCACCAAACTCGGATCAGACCTTCAGACTGGTCTGACTCGGTGTGCTATATCTTTTCTAACTGATCCGGCTTACGGTTTTCATAAGTGGTTTTGGCCACTTTTTTAACAGGCCAGTCTGGTCTTAGCTGGTTTTTAGCTGGTTTTTTTACTGAATCAACTGGTTTTAGCTGGATTAGAACTGAAACATGTTAACAACATGCTAGTAACTTGCTAATCATGCTAGAAACATGCTTACAACATGCTAGTAACATGCTAATCATGCTAGAAGCGTGCTAGTAACTTGCTAATCATGCTAAAAAGGCTAACACAATGGTAGTAACGAGCTAATCATGCTATAAACATTCTAGCAAATTGTTAAACATACTAGCATCATGCTAGTAACATGCTAATCATGCTAGAATCATGCTAGCAACATGCTAGTAAACTTGTTAATCATGCTAGAAAAAATGCTAACTTGCTAAACATGCTAGAAACATGCTAGAATCATGCTAGTAAACTTGCTAATCATGCTAGAAACATGCGAACAACTTTTTAAACATGCTATCAAAATGCTAGCAGCTTGTTAAACATGTTAGAAACATGTCACTTTAAGAGAATGCACTGATACAGTACGTTCAGCCAAGACGGGTATTTTGACATAATTTTTGTGTGAATTTGTCCATTTAAACACAATATTTCAAAGAAAGCTTAATATTTGCGCGCGTTCTGAGGTGCAGGTTTGCGCGCTTCGGATGAGCACACGCATAGTAACATGCTAATCATGCTAGTAACATGCTAATCATGCTAGTAACATGCTAGTAAACTTGCTAATCATGCTAGAAACATGCGAACAACTTTTTAAACATGCTATCAAAATGCTAGCAGCTTGTTAAACATGTTAGAAACATGTTAGCATCATGCTAGTAACATGTTAATCATGCTAGCATCATGCTAGTAACATGTTAATCATGCTAGTAGCATGCTAATCATGCTAGAATCACGCTAGCAACGTGCTATTAACTTGCGCCGAACCGTGTGTGGAGAACCGTACGGTTCGATTTTTTTCCGCGAACTGTTCCACCCGTAATGTTAACAACATCCTAGTAACTTGCTAATCATGCTAAAAAAATGCTAGCAAATTGTTAAACATGCTAGAAACATGCTAGCATCATGCTAGTAATATGCTAATCATGGTAGAATCATGCTAGTAACATGCTAATCATGCTAGAAACTTGCTAATCATGCTAACAAAATGCTAACCATGTTAAAAACATGCTAGTAACATGTTAATCATGTTAGCAACATGCTAGTAACATGCTAATTATGCTAGCATGCTAATCATGCTAGCAACATGCTAAAAACATGTTAGCAAAAAAGCTAGAAACAGCCTAGCAACCACCCCAGGTACCCTAGCAATGTGTTTTATACCTATCTGTTTTTCTGATAGACTGCATTGCCTTGAAAACCTTCAAACTTTAATCTTTAAAACTATTTTAACTTTCAAACTACTTCAAACCGAAAACTTTCAGACTGCAAGCTTTTAAAACTTTTTCAAATTTTGTATCTAGGCTTTTTCAAGCCAACTTAAAGTTTGTCTACAAACTTTTCAATCTAGTTTTGAATTGTTGTCTGATATGGACAATGCATGGACAACCAGGTTTATTATCACGGATGCACATAAAAATAAAAAAATAAAAAAATTTAATAAGTTCAGACCGCTCTTTGCGCACTGACATTGTTGACAGCTGTTAATGCAGGATCACAGTTTTAGATCGATTAACTGTAATACTGTAGAAGATTTCCATTCAAACTGAATGCATAAATCTATAGAAGGCAATGCACCGCCGGTTTCAGAGCAAATACGCACAACTGTGACATTTCATTCACTGATGTGTTTCACTCGGCAGTGCTAAAACTGGCAGCGCATTTACTTACTTGCCAGCAACCCGCCAAAATAAAAGCTTGCTGATTTAAAAAAATTTGCTGATGAAAAGGTAAATATTAGCATTGCATTTTTATTGTATTTTATCACACTTTATTTATTATTTTGTATAAAATAAATAAATAAAAGTGCAATAATACTAGTATGAATTATTTTTATAGTTATGTTTAAAGGGTCACACTATGTGCAGTGAGTGTGAGCACCACACCAAATCTCCAGGCGCTATTATGAGAACCAGCATCCCTGGTTATTACAGTTAACTAAAATTAAAACCATAACAAAACAGTTGTTACTTAAAAATAAAATAAATATTAACCTAGAATGAGTAAATGAATTTAGAGTAAATCAAGACATTTGAAGACTGTAACAGCTTCCATATTCGTTTGAATAACTAGTTTGACTTGAGATGATCCACTGCAGGATAAAGATCTTTCATATGCATGGAACTAAACATTGTATGGTCGGACTGACTCAATAGTGTGATTTTAATTGCTCATCTTGTATGACTTCAATAAAAAATCGTTAAAAACATAATTTTTACAAATAAACATCAATGCAGTATTTCTTGCAAATCACTGTAATGCAGAACTCAGCGTCTATTAGAAAGCACCCTTTATATAGGGTGTCTTTAACTTAATGTGCTTATTCTGTACAAGCACTGCTATTGAGGTGGGATATAGCTGAGTTTATGGACATGTTTAGTGGAATGGGTTGGTTTAAGAGGTATGTGTAGGTGTAATTATAGATGTACTGTAACTACAGAAATTAGTTACAGATTGCAGGTATGTTATTGCAGTACAATGTAATAACATGTATGTGCACAATTCGTACATTATATCAAATGATTGATTTAAATGTTAGTACGCAGTAGTTCAAGACACTTCATATAAAGTGGGTCCAAAAGCTCATTATACTTACTGAATCAATACTAGAAAGTCTGAGAGTCCGAAATATGATTTTATATTCTCCCTAATTACGCCATTTTTTTATGATAGGTTACAAAAGTAATAAGCAATTGTCTACAGACTATGTCGTGATGTGCAATGTTTCCATTTGAGCTTCACTTGGCTTTATCAGAGCGATGATCCGCCATGACTAAACCGATAAGGCTGTGTGTTTGCCAAAGCATCAGGTCAGTGCAGTCTTGTGGAGATGGTGCGGATTTATAATGAGTTTCCAGCAGACTGAGGGTGGTCTACGTCACACAGTATTGCCTTGTTCTACACATGGCAGGAGCGTTTTGACACGCAGTGGATAACAGTGCTCTAAAGTAATCACACGCTTGACTTTGACATATGACTGCGCGGAGGCAGAGTTGGGTGCATGCACTGGAATCTCTCTGTTGATTAAATCCAGCACACGAGTCTCTGACGCGCTGTACTTCTACTCTGTGTGTGTGTGTGTGTGAGCGTGTGTGTGAGCGTGTGTGTGAGCGTGTGTGTGAGCGTGTGTGTGAGCGTGTGTGTGAGCGTGTGTGTGAGCGTGTGTGTGAGCGTGTGTGTGAGCGTGTGTGTGAGCGTGTGTGTGAGCGTGTGTGTGAGCGTGTGTGTGAGCGTGTGTGTGAGCGTGTGTGTGAGCGTGTGTGTGAGCGTGTGTGTGAGCGTGTGTGTGAGCGTGTGTGTGAGCGTGTGTGTGAGCGTGTGTGTGAGCGTGTGTGTGAGCGTGTGTGTGAGCGTGTGTGTGAGCGTGTGTGTGTGTGTGTGAGTGTGTGTGTGAGAGAGAGAAAGAGTGTGTGTGTGTGTCTGAAACAGACCTCAAAATACCATCACAAAAGGTTGCTGAATGCTGGAGTTAAGCAAGAACAGAAAATGGCAAAACCTCACACATGTTGAAACTAACTAATCAATTATCTCCATTGATCAGCACATGCCTGATACTGATAAATGCGCTCCAGGTCTCTCTGTCAGGTGTGTGCTTGATGCAGTGAGAGTGTGAGGAGGACGAGTCGCTCAGGTAGACGAGGCTCAGAATAAATGGAGGGTTATAAATAACACAGCACTGATCTAAGCAGCAGTTAAGTGCTGGGTGGCCTGCAGGACGCTTAATTGTCACTCATGTGCTGCAGGTAGTGCTGGCAGGAGTCTGTCTGTCTCTCATTAGGAAATAAACTCTACTCACCGACTGAAGCCTCGCGCTCCTCCAGAAAACACTCCACAATCAGACGGGCCAGGAGAGCCGGAGACAGGTCCACCTGACAGAGACACACAGAGACGTGCTGATCAACACACCTGCATTCACTGATGACTGATACTGGAGGTGCAATCGTTTATCTGATCCTCAGAGTCTTCATCTGCTCGACCGCATCCAATAACACTGTCATTTTAAATCAAAGTAATGAGTTCATATTCAATTCACTGTAGTTAAAAAATAAATAAAGTCACTTAAAAAAGCAGGTCAATTGTATGTGTCTATTTTAACATCAATCCAGTATGGAAGCCCGTTTCTGCCACTGAATAAAAAAATACAAAAAGGTTATTGCGACTTTTTATCTCACAATTCTGACTTTTTTTCTCAGAACTGCATGATATAAACTCGCAATTGCGAGTTATAAAGTCCAATATTGAGGGGGGAAAAAGACTGATATGATCTTAGAATTGCAAGTTCATATCTCACAATTCAGATTTTTTTTCTCAAAAAAGTCGCAATCACTTTTTCCACAGCGTAACAGCTGAAGTAAATAAAATTTGAATTTGAAAGATATTATTTGTTACTCCAAAAAACGAAAATGAGTCTATGTAAGTGCAGATAATTATACATAATGTATAATGTATTTAATACATACGCTAAGAGTTATATAAATATTAAGAACTTCAGTTTTTTTTTATTTACCTTTTTCCATTTGTATATAATTTTTTTGCTTCAGTGTCTTTTATGGAATCAATATTTTGTATTTTGAAAAAAATTATCGTTTGTATAGTAAATGGTGTGTTAGAAATGTGTAATGAAATTTTCTACATTTGTACACAAGTTGTTGTACTGAATGAACTAATCAAGTTCAACCATTAAACCCAACTGTTACTGTAAGATGAAAAATTATGAATCAAAATATCTTTTCAAATATTCAAACTTACACACACACAAAAATTACCACAAAACAACATTAAATCCCAGATGAGCTACCAAGTTTTTTTTTCTTTCTGAAATTGTTAATTTTATGAATATTTCATTTCATAAATGTTCAGTTTTATGTCAAATTTTTAAGCAAAAACTACTCTATATTGTAAAATAAAACCAGATTTTTAGTTTGATCTTAAGGTTGCAAGGTTAATTCCCTCCTTTCACTAAAAAAAAAAGAAAAGCCCCATTCTGTCACCTATTCATAGAAACAGTAATTTTTTGGTGCCGCTGGTGAACAAGCAAGTTCTTTATAACCCCAAATAATGTAACTAAAAATAGCAGTAGGATATATACTTCAATCCATTTGATATACGTTCATGCTTCTTTGTTACGCTTTTGATGTTAACGTATTTTCTTGTTAGATCAGGATGAGTTTGTTTCTTCATCAGGTTTGGAGAAATGTGCCAGTTCTGATGAAGAAACAAACTCATCCTGATCGTGGATGAACTGAGGAACATTTTCAGATTAATCGTGAGCGGATCTCTCATCTGAAACGTGTGAGTAGCGTTTATGAATCTCTAATCACTCTTTAATCAGGTTAAATAACAGACACTGGACTTTATAGTGCAGCTCAGCTGGCGATAGCTATATATTGTGCCATAAAGCGCTATGACTGTAGCAATTAGCGGCGAGCGGAGCGCCATGAGAGCACAGCGTAAATGTGAAGCAGCGCATTAAACTGAGTCATGAGACACTTATGAGGAAGAGCGCTCAGATCCTTCATCAACAAACTGTCCATCAGTTCAGCTGATTCACTATCAAACTAAATCAAGACTCATAACTCATAATAATTACAGGAACTGTAATCAAGCGGATATTACATGGTGTGCTATAAATCATACTCTTAAAACAGGTGAGTATTATAACTGTTGTTACAACTATTCATGAATAATATAACATATTTGTAAGTTTTTTTCATATGACAATATGCATGCTTTGTAATGCCTTAAAATTAACTTATATAATGTATTATAAATGCAGGTTTCTTAGAAAGTGTCTCTTTTACTTTCACAATGTTTACTTTACAGGGGTCATGAATTGAGAAATCAACTTTTACTTGAGCTTTTGATATATAAGAGATAGAATAGGGGATAGGGTAGAAAACAGCCTATTACTTATTGATTTTGATGTTTTTGAATGTAAAAATCACACGAACATCATAAGTTGTAATAATAAAAACAGTATAAAATAATAAAAATAGCTAGCTCATGACTCCTTTCAACTGTAAATCTCTGTTGTGCAGCACCTTGTTTGCCAAAACAGAAAATACATTGTTTAATTTCTATTTGATTATTTTTTTTAAGTTTTATGCATTTACTTAATCACCAGTTTTTGATAATAAATTTGTATTAAATCAAATCCAGCAAACATCAGACAACACAGAATAAAAAAAAATAAAAAAAAAGATAAATAATAATAATAATAAAAATTAATAATTAAATAAATTTAATAGGGTCCTATTTTCATTAAAACGTTCACAAATTATTTTAAAAATGTACTAATTTAACTGATTAGGCATGCTTTTGATTATTAAAAATAAAAAATAGAATCTGTAAAATAAAATAAAACAAAACAAACCAAATAAAAATGATTGAATTTGGGAGAAAACAGATCCGATTTCATGGTTCGGTCAGTAATGAATGGAAGTGGTGTCATTACTGAGATCAGTGTGAGCAAACGCTGCGCTCTGAACATGGACATGTTTAAAGGCAGTAAGGTGAAACCAGAACGGCCACTCCAGCGCAAAGAGAGAGCTTCAATATATAAACAGCACACCTAAACAGAGACATTAACCACTGACCTCCGTGTCAATAACAGAGCGCAGACGCATTTGTGAATGTCACTTATGATAATGACACTCAACTATTTTTCCATGAAGGATAATTGCATGAAATCATTGGTTAATAGGCCGAACCATTAGCCCAATTTTTATAAGTACTAACAGACTGGGAAAACTCCCAATGAATCTCTGAATCTTCTGGGTTAATTATGTTGCTGGAGACCCGAGCAAAGCACTGCTAAAGAATAATAAAGCAGCAGAGAAAGAAAGCGTGTATTTCGGTACCTGGTTGGCGAGCTCCAGCAGAAGCGGGGCTGTAGGACGAGTCTGGGCTTCGCTGCGGTACCTTCATTACCACACACAACAACAAAGAGAAGAGAGGACAGCAAGCCAGGACATGTCAGCGTCCCTGATGGATTCAGCCTCCACGGCTCCGAAAGCCAAAGCAGACGAGGCCCATCATTAACCTGAAACCACAAAGCCCTCACAGATCCGCCGCGTGTTTGTCAAAGTCAGATCATCTGGTTTCTGGGAGAATAACAAACAGCAGCGTCCCACCTGATCTATCTACATCACCAGACAAAAGTTTAGACACACTGAACAAAGCGTCTCATGACCTTAGAACCTTCTGCTTTAAAGGCACAACATGTTAGATTTTTTAATTAAAATATCCAAAAACCACTAGAACAGTGTTATATATTTTGCTGACTTGTGTACTTACATTATCCCAAATGTTTCGAAGAATCCAGAGAAATAAGTAATTTTAACTAGTGACACGGAGCGTGTCCATAGTGTCATTGTGTCGCCTGCTAATGACGTATTCTACTACGTTAATAAATCATTAGCTCATCCATGAACATGATTTCTGCCCGAGTCCCGTCGGATTGCGTCGGCTGTGGGGATGAAGACCACAACTCCCATGATTCCACACTCAGCCACAGCATCATCAAACTACGCCTTTGTCTCTTTGTTTGTTTTGAAAACGTGCCCTCTAGTGGCAAAAATTACATATTGTGCCTTTAATTACTAAAATCAACATAGTTATAAATATATATATATATATAAATTAAATAATTAAACAAAAACTTAAATATATATTTTTTTAAATATAAATATTTTTTTAATTAAATTAAATAATATTGTTTATTTCAATGCAAAAATAAAATAAAAATATCAAAACAAAAATATAAATTATAATTGAAGATATGCTTCAATGGCATGTTTTGTTTTTTTCTCCTCTCTCTCTCTTTTTTTTATTTATTTATTTTTTTGTATTTTGGCATGGCGGGTCAAATCAAAGTTTATTATGGGACAGGTTTGGCCCGCGAGCCCTGGTTTGAGCATCTCTGATCTAGACAAAAATGCAAAAATTATTTCAACATGTGAAAAATAGTCATAAGCAAGGACAGTGAATGACTTACTGATGTATTTGACAAACACAGAAGGCGCACACAGACAGGAGATGCTTTGTTTCACTGTCAACTGGTTTACTGAGTAATTGTTGGCATTAGTGATTTTTATGGGTTTTGAAGTATTGTGAATGAGCTGAAGACACATTTTCATGAATATTTAAGAGTAGATGTCTGGATCAGCTGAGGTCATTACGCACTGCATTCTGCTGTCTGATGTTCTCGTTTTTAAGATGACATGTCAAGGTGAAGCGTGTGATGCGTGGAGGGCTGGAGCTGACGCGTGAGGCGTTTCTTACCTCTGATAATATGCTTTGACCACATCAGGAGCGTGATGTCTCACCATGCTGCGCTTCATCCTCTTCTGAAACAAACAGCACATCGGACCAGGACCTTAAACCAATGAAACCTTTATATCTGGCTTATGAAAAATATCACAGCGTTTATGAATCAGTCATTGTGTTGGACTGTATATGTGACCCTGGAGCACAAAAACCAGTCATAAAGGTCAATTTTTCGCAATTGAGATTTATACATCATCTGAAAGATTTGTTAGGATAGGACAATATTTGGCTGAGATACAACTATTGGAAAATCTGGAATCTGAGGGTGCAAAAAAATCTAAATATTGAGAAAATCATCTTTAAAGTTGTCCAAATGAAGTTCTTAGCAATGCATATTACTAATCAGAAATTAAGTTTTGATATATTTACGGTAGGACATTTACAAAATATCTTCATGGAACATGATCTTTACTTAATATCCTAATGATTTTTGGCATAAAAGAAAAATGGATAATTTTGACCCATACAATGTATTGTTGGCTATTGCTACAAAAATACCCCAGCGACTTAACACTGCTTTTGTGCTCCAGGGACACATATAGTGTGTGTGACTTTGCTTTAACTACTAAATATCAGGAATACTTGATGTTATTTACATGCGAGAGCAAACAAAAACATGGAGTGATGCAAAAATACAGAACAGGACCTGAACTAAACTAGATGAGGATGAACTTTGTATTACAGAGGGTTTGTTTGACAAAGCACAAAGTAGAGTTTATATGTTTTATAACTTGAGACGCTGATCTGGAATCAAACTGATATGCGTCTGAACATCAGAACTAGCTGTTTTATCATATTAATGGGACTGATTTGAGTCTTTAGTTTTGAGCTCAGTGTTTCATAATGTGAATCTGTTTTTACACCGATTCAGACTGATTCATTCATTTGATATGAAACAACTGGTATTTTGTCCATCAAATTACAAAAATAAAAAATAAGCAAATTTATTTACACTACCACTGAAAAGTTTGGATTTTCTTTCCCAAAAAGTTAATACTTTTATTCATCAGGGTTGCATTAAATTGATCAAAAGTGACAGTAAAGACATGTATAATGTTACATTAAATTTCTATTTCAAATAAATGCTGTTCTTCTGAACTTTCTATTCATCTGTGAATCCTGAAAAATAAAATGCATCACAGTTTCCACAAAAATATTGTGCAGTACGACTGTTTTCAACATTGATAATAATCAGAAATGTTTCTTGAGCAGCAAATCAGTATATTAGAATGATTTCTGAAGATCATGTGACACTGAAGACTGGAGTAATGATGCTGAAAATACAGCTGCGCATCACAGAAATACATTACAGTTTATCAGATATTCACATAGAAAACAGCTGTTTTAAATTGTAATATTTCACAATTTTTACTGTATTTTTGATCAAATGAAGCAGCCTTGGTGAGCAGAAGAGACTTCTTTCAGAAACATGAAAAACAAACTTCTGAACGGTAGTGAGGTTATTTTCCAGTATAATGCCAATGTTGCGCTGTAAGCCGCTGGCGTGATCTGAAATGACTCTCCTGCGCTGCATTAGATGTAGATTGCTGTGTCGAAGTGTTCACTCTGGCTCTGAGGGGTCAGGTGGCCCTGCGCTTTCATTTCCTCTTCTACTAAACTACAACCACTCTGGCTTTCATTTCTAATGCAATTCAGCTGCTTCTTAACCTGAGGACAGCGAGAGCGGCGCTTAAAAACAACTTATTTAAAAACTGCAAAAGTAATTCTGCGAGACACAGCGAGTGAGTGACGGCTGTCGGCCGGATGATGAATGGCTCTGTTTTGTGCCTCTGCAGTCGTCTGCCACCGCAGCAGCGGCCATCGATCTTCATCGGCTGTCAGACGCCCAAAGCGGCCGCGGCAGCGCGAGTCAGCAAACATTTAGTACACCGAGCCGCGCTGCACCAGGAAATTATTATTGTCAGAATAATAATGCTTTAGCATAATTTATTACAGGTCCGGCAAATAAGCAGCGGCTCGATGTTATTAGACAGATGGAGGGGCCGGGTTGGCAGAGTGCGGCAAAGCTGTTCCAGATGAACGCCCTGGACAGATGATCCGTGTGAAGCGCAGACTTACAAAAAATTATATATATATATATACACACACACAACTACAAAACACTATTTTTGATTTGTAGTATATTTGTGCTATATTTGAGTACAATTTTAACATGAGCTCATAATAAAAAATATATAAGAGTAAAAAATATTATACATATATAATAAAATTCAAATATTTTAATTAAATTCAAATAAAATAATTCTACAAATGCTGTTTGAAATAGTTTAAGATGAAGTCTATTTTCCTTCATTTTGGTGACTGTCCAGGCCTGAAAATCATACTTTAGCCAGATATTTTAGGTCCAGGTTCAAATCAAAGCTGCAGCCAGCCATATTCCTCGCCTCTCTCTCTCCTCGCTCATATCAAATCAAGACACAAAACATGAGTTTAATGAAATAGATTTGAGACTGATATAATTGTTTAATGCCGATCAGAATTGTCAGAAGGGCATCAGCTCAGCTCTTGAGTCCTGGAGGAGATCAAATCCAGATCAAACTATGAAATATCCCTGATGACTGAAACTAATCTGCTCAAATGTCACTAATATACAGACATCTGATTCACCATCATTATCATTTTCTGTTTTATATGATATTTCCTGATTTGTGTTATTTTTCTTCTGCATGTTGGTTTCACCACATGGCTCTGATATGGCCGCTAGTTTTTCAAATATTAATGGCACCAAATACAAACAAGAAGCACCTCAATTCTTCTGTCCTCAATCAACGTTAAATACTACTGCTGTCAAAAATAGCGTTAACGCAGGCGATTAATTTTTTCATTTTAATGCGTTAAAAATATTTAACGCAATTAACGCAGGACTGTAGCCTGTATCATTTCATATTAAAGCGCAAAAGAAACTACGAGCATGCAATGTCACAGTCATGTCGTCAGTTAAGTCATGACGTTACCAAAACGGCGATTAAAGCTGCATTAATACTGTGCATGCATGTATTTGTTATATATGAGCCAGATCTAAGAGCATGGCTCTGAAATGCATATGTTTTCCAAACTGTTGTGGAGCAGCAGCACAGTCTCCCTCATCTAACACCCGATTCAACTCCTCAGCTCATATATCAGTCAGAAAAGGTAAAGAGTTATGAGAAACTACGATGCGTGTCAGATCCCAGCTCTTAACGCAGCCAAAATAACCTCATAACCAGCTGCTGTGATGACTGTTCATCAAAGAACAAAAGAAAAAAAAGAGCAAATCGATCACTTCTGTAGCTTTAAGGATTCATCAATATTAAATTTAGAATTTTTAGTTTGATAATTTGATCAATTTCTGTATATTCAATTTTGTACTTGCTGAAGGGCACAGGTAAATATGACATTTATTATAATGGGTTTATGTGAAGATTGTTTTAAGTTCATTTAAATTAGAAGTAATTTTTTTAAAGTCTAATAAATTTTCAAATTGATAGATCTCAATTATACTGTAATGTTGAATGGCTAGTCAATGGTTAAATATTAGAAGAAGAAAAAACAAGAGACAGAGTAGCATCAGTACATAAAACATATGAGTTGTGTACAAATATTTAAATGGCACACATCAACTTTTCAGTGAGTTTCTACTTCAATTTGTTGTTGAAATATAATGAAAATGGAAGCTGACATAAAGACGTACTTTATTCAAACATGCATTATTTAAGACATCACTAACAGGTCAAGTAAAAATATAATGAAAATGGGTAATGCTTTATTTTAGTGTCTCTTAACTAGTTGCTTATTAGCATGCATATTACTAGAATATTAGCCATTTATTACTACCAATTAAGCACATATTAATGCCTTATTCTACATCCCTAATCCTACCCAATACCTAAACTTAACAACTACCTTACTAACTATTAATAAGCAGCAAATAAGGAATTTATTGAGAGAAAAGTCGTAGGTAATAGTGAATAAGTGTTCCCTATTCTAAAGTGTTACCTGAAAATGTAATATAATCAGCAAAATTAATGTCAGTATCGATACTGTGGAAAATGAGCATTGAAACCATTTCAAATATTCATAATCGATACGTATCCAATATTCAATACTTTTGACAACACTAGCAGCACAAAACTAAAAATCATCGTAACCAATCTAAACAAAACAGTGATGGAGCAGAAGTTTGGAGCAGTGATGCTACTCATGTGGGATAGATGGATGGATGGATGGATGGATGGATGGATAGAAAAAAATGGTCAGACAGATAGACAGACAGACAGATAGACGGATAGACGGATAGATAGATAGATAGATAGATAGATAGACAGACAGACAGACAGAAACTTTATTGATCCTTTAAAGGATGTGATGTGTGAAGTTGTTCATGCCTGCGGTTGGCCAGGACTAAATCTTAGAAGAAAAACAGCATGAAGATCAGAGAACATTCCAGTCACGACCGGCCAAACAACAGCCTTTACATGAACACATCGACACCGGACCTTGACCAGCGGCGGCCCGCACTCACATCTGTTAGGCTTCAGGTGGATTACTCCATATAATGATCATGAGTACGGCCTAATTGCTAAATCTTTAGCCTGTTGAGTTTAAAGGGAGGTAAACTGCCCTTAATATCTGTGAAAACAGATCCGTGTCAAACAATGGGCCGGACTTTGAATTATGGGCTTGTTTAGATTCACCGTTTGAGGTCTGAACGGCTTTGCCATGAGTACATACATTATCAGATGAAAAAGAGCTTCGAGAGGCTCTGCGTCTGAATCACGATCAACACATGAATCCTTCAGCAAACGCATGACAGCAGACGCCACACACGTGTTCACTACAACACACACCGCCGTTCAGAAGAGTGCTAAGATTTATACTGTTTCTGAAAAAGTCTCTTCTGCTCACCAAAGCTGCGTTTATTTGATCAAAAATACAGTAAAAACAGTGAAATATTTTTACAGTTTAATAAATGTCTTTACTGACACTTTTGATCAATTTAATGCGTCCTTGATCAATA